GAGCAAGAAGCCGCAGAGGAGGAGGAACAGGAGGAGGAAGAGGAGGAGGAGGACATCTGATATTTCCTTTGTCAGGCGAACTCGGACGAAAAGTGAAATGCCAGAATCCCTATTTTTTCTCTTTGGGTATTCTTGGAACCCTCTGAAAGCTTCCTGGGGATCTCCTGGGGCGAAGATCTCGGGTTCTCGGTTCACGTACCCGATCCTGGGCCACGGTCAGGGTCCTCTCGGGCCATCTTGGACGTTTCTTCGGCCGTTTTGGAACCGTCTTGAAACGCTTTTGAAGCCCACTGGGCAGTTTGGGGGCGATCCTCGGGGCCTCTTAGGGCGTCTTGCAGCGTCGGGGAGCGGAACAGGCGGAAACGTCAACATTGACCAACAACCTGAGGAATATCAACGTTTTTTGTCCTCTTCGAGCTCTCTCGGGAAACATCGTGGAGGCCTCTTGGGTATCTTCGGGGCAGGGGTACTCTTGGAGCGCTCTCGGGGCGTCTTTGGGGTCCCCTGGCGCGTCTTGGGGCCATCTGGGGTGTCTTGGAGCGATCTTTGGCCATCTCGGGGCCCTCTAGGACCATCTTGGGGACCTCCCGGGGCCGTCTTGGAGGCCGCTTGGGCTGCTTGTTGCACCACATGTATTGCACAACATACATCGCAGTTCACTAGTACACATCGACTGCACGACATGAATTGCACAATATTGGTTGCACCACATAGTCTGCACTGCATATATTCTCCTTTCTACAAGAGCATTCGGATCTACCTCCCCCCGACATATCCGATCCCCCTGGGGATGTGCAAAATACACATGATTCTGCCCCATCGTCCATCCTAGCTACACTGGTAACCGCCCCCTCATCCTCTCCACTAATACTTTGCGCGCACAATCGTTCATCAACGAGCATAAGTTTTCAATCATCCCTTGCAAGCTATTGGACGAAATGCAAACGCGCGCATCGTCGCGCGCATGCCGAAATCCGTGAAACACCTTTGGTTTCGTAAGGATTTCAACATCAACATCGAGTGTCACGAACATGTATAAAAATCACGTGAACAAGGACTTTCAAACAAAAAGCCTGCGCTCGCGGTCTTGGCAGAATCTTATGAAAACCCTGCGCGGGCCAAAGGGTGCCCTCCCGCAGGATGCACACGAACATCCAACAGGCACGAAGAACATCCGGGTACCCTCCCCGAGCCGACCTCGATCTCATACCTAGGTCCGACCGTACCGCTCCTCCTCTCCCCCTGCTGCTCGGCTCCCCGGCTGGGCGGCGCCCACCGCGGGGGGGGGGATGGGCGCGAGGGTGGCGGGCCTCTGAGAGGGCGGCGGGGCGTCCGAAAAGGCAGGGGGCTCATCAGAAGCCCTCGTGGCTTCCCGAGGCTCGCCATCGCTCGGACGTCCACTCCGTGCATTCTTCGGTTTCGTGCGTTCGCTCTTCGCACAAGGATCCAAGATGCTCCTCGCTGGTCCTCGCCGAGAGAAACAGACACGCCCGAACGGTGCCAAGACGAAGCCTTCTCCTGGAGGCAGGCCCTCCCAAGACGGCCCCGGGCCCCTCTGAGATGCCAACTGCTTCCTCGGGAGCCCGACCCCCCTGCCACCCCCAGGGTGGGAGCCGCTGACCAGCACCCCGCTGCGCCAGGAGGACCAGCACCTCCGCTCCCCCCCCACGCCGATCCTGGCTAATCCTGGGCCAAGAATTCCCGCGCGCGCCCTCTTCCTCGTCCCTCCTCACTCCTCCTCCTCCTCCTCCTCCTCCTCCTCCTCCTCCTCTTCCTCCTCCCCCCGCTGCGCCCCCCGCCGCGGGAGGCCCACCTCTCGATGCAGCAGCGCTCGGCCGCGCGCCCGCGCCAGCGCGGGAGCGGTGCGCGCGCGCGCGTCGCCGCCTCCCTCGCTGCGAAGCTTGACGGAGCGAGGGGGGCGCGGCTTCACCGCCCTGGCCCTGCCGCCTCGAAGGCCACCTGCCTCCTGAGCGCCTCCTCCTCCTCCTCCTCCTCCTCCTCCTCCTCCTCCTCCTCCTCCTCCGGCCTCGCTGCTCCTCCCTCCCCCCTCCCAAGCGCTCCTCCCTCCTCTTCCCCCCCGCTCCGGCCTTCCTTGCTTTACCTCTTCCTCCTCATGTTCCTCATCCTGCTCCTGCTCTGCCTCCTCCTCCTACTCCTCCTCCTCGTCTGAAGCACCCTCTCTGCCCTCGCTCTTCCATCACCTCCGTGTTCTACTTGCTCCTCCCTCGCCCTTCCCCGCTCCCTGTCGTCTCCCCGTTCCGAATCTCCTTTCCTCCAGACTCCCCGACGTCGTGCTTTCCCATTTCGCGTGATGGGCCTGTTTTCCACCACCACCGCCACCATAAGTTGGAGGGGGAATGGGTCCACCTGCTCCTCCTCCTCCTCCTCCTCCTCCTCCTCCTCCTCCTCTTCCTCCTCTTCCTCCTCCTCCACCTCCTCCTCCTCATCCCGCCTAATTCCCCCCTCCAACTCATGGTGGCGGTGGTGGAAAACAAGCCCGTCATCGCGGGCACCCAGACCTCTCCACACTTTCCCTGGGGCCAGCGGACCGCCCCAAGTAGTTTTGCACGGCGCTGGGGCCCAGTGCAACACCCCCCCCCCTGGAAGCAGACCCGTCCGCCCTCCTGTTTTGCTCGCGGCGTGCGGGGATCAAAAGCAGTTCCCGCCCCCGTCCTGCCGCGGATGCTGCCCCTCCTCGACGTCCGAAGACCAGATAGATACTTTTGAGGGTCTCGGGGCCTGGAGCCTCGTCCCCTTCCCTGGAACGAACTTTGGACCAGCCCTTACTGGGCATCGCTCGGACGTCCATTCCGTGTTTTTTAGGTTTCGTGCGTGTCTCTTGGCCAAATGATCAAGGATACTCCCCGATGGTCCTCGCCGAAGGAAAAATGCACACGTCCGAGCGATGCCAAGCTTAAGCCCGAGAGGTGCTCGTGAAAACTCCCAGGGCCCGACAACCGCCTCCAAAGACCGGACCTCACCACGTCTGGAACGGGCACGAAAAAGACGCTGCCAGGAATCAAGCCTTGGGCAGGCGGCCGCTCTTGGGCAGGCGACTTTCGCCTCGAATGAACGACGTCCGCGGCGGCACCGACATCAAATCCTGCCCAAAACGGACAGGACACATCCTTTCCGTACCAGCTTCGTTCCCACCGGCCAGAGGCCGAAACTGCAAACAAGCCTCAGACGTGATGCTTTCGATTCTCTGTCGGGTGTTCGTCGACGGGGGGGGTCAATATGTGGGGTGAAGAAGCGTTCACTTGTCGCACACCTTTTTGGTCCCGCGTGGCACTGTTGGGGCCGTTTAGGCCCCCTTTGAAGCAACTTTCCTGCAATCCTCGACCCCCCTCCCCCCATGTTCCCTGCCCCGCCCGTGGCCGCCCGCCAGACTCTCGGGGTCCTCGGACCCCTCCCCGTGCCGCTGCTCCGCCCGGTGACCCCTTCCCCGCCCGCCCCAAGGCGTGCCAAAGGACGCTCGGCCCCAGCGAAACATGCTCGACGCATTCCGCTTCCTCCTCCTCCTCCTCCTCTTCCTCTTCCTCTTCCTCCGCCACCTCCTCCTCCTCCTCCCCCTCCTCCTCTTCCTCCTCCTCCTGCTCCTCCTCCTCCTCCTCCTCCATTCGGCGCCCATCGAGCGGCCCAAATCGTGGATCGGCGAGAGTAGCTTTCGAACTTCGTCGCCGAGCTGGGGCCCTACCCTCCTGGCCCCCCTCCCCCCCCTAGTAGCCGTGCCAAGGTACGCTGGGGCTCCACCCTCCTGTCGGACACACGCTGACATGGATTAGGGATCCACGGATCTGGCGCGTGGGCGCCAGATCCATGGATCGGGGAAGGCACCCTCGAACGATGAGGCCCATGCCGCCTGGTTTGGCGACAACGAACGCCAATCCTACACCAAAACGGGACCCGTCGCTGCTCCGCGCGCCTTCCTCTATCCTGGCCCTCATCCACCTCCAACTCCAAAGCGTGCTAAGGGCGCCTGGGCCTTCCCTGCGCGCAACTCCCCTCTCTCCTCCACCACCCCCTCCTCCATCCTCCTCCGTCCCCCCTCCTCCGTCCTCCGTCCTCCTCCTTCCCCTCCTCCTCCTCCTTCTCCTCCTCCTCCTCCTCCTCCTCCTCCTCCTCCTCCTCCTCCCTCCTCTCCCTCCTCCTGCTGCCGCAACACCTCTCTGGCCCTCCCGCTGCCGCCGAGACCCCGTGGGAGGGTCGCCGCGGGCTCACGGGGGCCCGAAGACGGACTGTGCGCCTGCCTCCTTCTCTCGGGCATGCCCTGCGCGCCGCGCGACACGGCCATGCCCAGGGAGACGTGAGACTCGGGTTCGGGGGGCCCGGGTTGGCCTGACGGGGCCATCACGAGAATGACGAGGCCCAACCTGAAATGTGACGCGAACTCCCGCGGCAGACATCCCACGAAAGCCGGACCGTCAACATCCGGGACGCGCTCGCCAAAAAGCGTCGGCAAACCGAAGTTGCGGCGTACTCGGATCTTCTGCTTCCCCGACGTTAGTGCCGTACCCTCCCGCAGGAGGAGGAGGAGGAAGAGGAAAAGATCTGATCTAATCATATCGACTCTGGGGAGGGTCCGAGTCCATGAAAAACATCATGCAGACAAACCGCTGGCCCGTGAAAGGCCTTCGCAAGAAACTTCACTCGGCTTCCAGCCTCTGCTAACACGGCTGAGGAGGAGGAGGAGGAGGAGGAGGAGGAGGAGGAGGAGGCTGGAGGAGGAGGAGGAGGGGGAGGAAGAGGAGGGAGAGGAGCGAGGAGGAGGAGGAGGAGGAGGAGGAGGAGGAGGAGGAGGGGAGGAGGAGCAGGAGGAGGAGGAGGAGGAGGAGGAGGAGGAGGAGGAGAAGGAGGAGCGAGAAGAAGCGAGGAGGAGCGAAGAGCGAGGGGGAGCGAGGATGAGCGAAAAGAGGAGGAGCCCCTCCTCCTCCTCCTCTTCCTCCTCCTCCTCCTCCTCATCCTCCTCCTCCTCCTCCCCCGCCCCGCCCCTGCGCGCGTCACAGCCTCTGCATCCCATCCTCGGCCTCGCGCGGCGCCCGGCCGGGGGGCAGACGGGAGGTGGCATCGGGGCGCCCTCCCCCCCCAAACGGCGTGCAGAGGCGAGCGCCGCGGACTGCCTCTGGCCGCGGTCGGCGACCTGGGGCAGCTCGAAACGACATCCGGCCCCGACCCTTCGCCGGCAGCCCCCGGGCCCCCGGGCCGCCCGCGACAATCCAGGGCGAGCAACTGGCTCCCATCGAGAGGCCTGGGGGCCAAGCTTCGGAACAGCGGCCCGTCTGATGTCGATGCGTTTGGGCGTTGTTACGCGATTTGCTGAGCCTGTGGAAGGTTGTCGCGGCCAGGCGGCCCGGCGGCCCGGGGACTCCCGAGCCTTCCGAGTCGGCCTGCCCCTTCTCACTCCCTGCCCCGCTCACCGCCGAGTCGCATGCCAAAACCGCGAGGCTTGCCTGCTGCTGTGGCCTCTACCTCGAGACGCCATCCTCCGCCGCCACTCTCTCTTCCTCTCTCTCTCTCTCGCTCTCTCTTTTTGGGGCAGCTCGCGACGACATCCTGCCCTGACGCTACGAGGCATCCCATGCAAGGAGAGCGAGGAGGGACAAGACGAAGCCAGCCGAGGATGCGGGAATCCTTGAGAGCCGGCGGCTCTGGAGAATGTCTCCGGCGCCGCGGCATTCCGGAACGCCCTGGAATAGGTTCATCCTCGCCCTAGCCCCGTCCGATGGTCGGCTTTCCGGTGGCCTCCCAAGTGGGGCCAGAGCGCACAGGTCCACATCTCCGACGGTATGTTTTCCCTGTCCATTCGTCATAGAGGGCGGCCTGCGAGGGCGGCTTTCGGGCCCCAAGATCATCAAAAAAGGATCGGGGGCGTAAACCTACCCCTGGGTAGGGTTTAGGGTTTAGGGTTTAGTTTAGGGTCTACAAGGCGTGGCCACAAGCACACCGTGACCGCGAACCCACCTGCGGTGGCCGTCACTCCCACCCGCAAGCCACCCCACCATAAAGATCATCCCTCCCCTCGTTAGAACCACATCGAAGACAGCGTCGACGACGACGACGACGACGACGGCGACGACCGATGTGCGATCCAGTGGGCACGCGGGTGCTGCAACGGGCGGGAAGAGTCGGGTCGGGCGGAAGAGATTCTGCACGCATGCGCAGCAAAGGCTACTTTTGAGAATAGGTGGATCGGCTCGCAACGGAAGGCACTTTGTATTGTAAAATACTAGGGATTCTGCACGCATGCGCACGAAACGCTATTTTCTGCAGGAGATGGAGCCGGTTGACATAACGGGGTCGCACTTTGGATTGTGACATACAAGAGATTCTGCACGCATGCTCAGGAAATGCTATTTTTTGCAGTGGATGGAGCGGGGTCGCAACGGGGGCCGAACACTTTTTAGTGTAAAATAAAACAGATTCTGCACACATGCTGAGGACATGCTATTTTTTGCAATACATGGAGGCGGATCGCAACGGGGACTGGGCACTTTGTACTGTAAAATACAAGAGATTCTGCACGCATGTGCAGGAAATGCTACTCTTTGCAGTAGATGGAGCGGGTTTGCATAACGAGCGGTTTTGTAGTAGTCAGGGTTTTATCATTATAGGGTTAGAGACTTCGGGTTTAGGGTGGGGGCGCGCGTCGAAAGCATCACATCGCCGGATCCAGGCCTCCCAGGTGGGGTTCGAGTAGATGGGGGCGGAGGATTGCGCCGCATCGTCGACGGGTACCCGATACATCGGCGGCGTCGGCGTTAAAAAAATGAGGCTCCACACTGAGCAGCACCGCCAATGCATTGACGATGCGGCGCGATCCTCCGACCCCAATGACCCCAGACCACAGAGCCGTTGGGTGCGCTTGCGGGGCTTCAGGGTCGCCAGGAAACGATCCAAGATCCGATCGGGGCGTGTGCGGAAGGAGGGTCGGGCGCAAAATCGGTGGAACTCGAGGCCTGAACCGAACCGCCTCGGGAACTGGTGGGCAAAAATGTGGCCGTGGACACTTCCACGGTGCTACCACACGGAGCGCTGCAGAGAAGCCACGGAGGGGCTCGGCTGGCCACGGCGAGGCGCGGCCACGACCAGACTGCCCGACCAGAGTCGACGGAGCGGCCCGAGAACCCGAACCCTTCCTAGGCCCAAAAGCGTGGTGTCAAGCAATACCACGCGGGCTACTGGGGGGGCACGATCCGTGCCGAATGATTCCACGCGGGCCACTCGCGCGCGTCGGCCGCGCGAGCATGTTGAACCCCTTCCAAAGCCTTCATCACCGACGCGAGGACATCGTCATCGTGATCGGCGGGCGTGATCAACATCGGCGCCGTCATTGGCCTTGCCGTCATCCCCACCATCGTCACCATCAGTGCTACTCTCATCATCGCGTCAACCGTTGTCGGCGTCGCCATGATACCGAATCGGCTGGGAACTGCCCGGCGGTGAGCGCCACCGGGCCGCGTCGGCCGCGCCGCACAAGCTAGCCGCTGCGCGCGCGTGCTTGGGTTCGCGCGGCCGCAAAGATGCAACAGCCAACCCCAAGCACTCATCGCAATCGCCGCCGCACGGGTTTCGCAAACCAAGTTGCGGGTGGGTGGGTGGGGTGTTTGCAAGAACGTGGAATGTGTGAACACTGTTGTGAAAAAGCAAAAAAAGAATTCGTACCCCATAGCTTGCATCACATATCCTGCTCCACATGGGCAAAACTATTCATACTACTACGTATACACGATTTGGGGTCTACGCTGGACAATTGTTATATGGATCTCTCTGGTTCTCGATATATATATATATATATATATAGGGAGAGAGAGAGAGAGAAAAAAACAAAAAAAAAAGAGAGATAGAGAGAGAGAGAGAGAGACAGAGAGAGAGAGAGAGACAGAGAGAGAGAAAGAGAGAGAGAGAGATGCAAACGCGTGTGCATATCTAAATACAAAAGCACTCCCAAAACAATGCTTGCACTGATGTTCTTGTTTATTTTGCTCTCGTCTCAGACGTGTCGTCGGTCAAGCGGCTATGTGGCCGCCGTCGCTGCCCCATCGCCGCCCGAGATTGCACACCATAGGGGGGCGGAGACTGCACCACAGAGATTGCACCGCAGAGATTATCCTTTCTCAGAAAATAATAGACTCTCCCCCCCCCAGCGTAATCGGTCCCCCTTTTTCGGGTATGTAAATCATATACGATTCTGACCAAATGTCCATCCTAAAATGAATTTGCAGTATCCCCGGGGGGCCGGGTCCCCCCCTTAAGAAACACTATGCGGTGACATGGTTTGCTCTAACATAGCACTTTTTCGCAAATCCTTATCGAGTTTCCCAAAAAAAACCTATAAAAACCCAGCGTCCGCGCGAGCTCTTGCGAAATTTTAAGAACCATAGGTTTTCCAGACCGTCACAACATGCTACCAAACGGGCTTCGCGCGCGCGCATGTCGAAATCTGTCGAACGCCCTTGCGCGTGTGCTGTCGCGAGAATCCTCTGCAAAAAACAGGACGAAGTGAAGACGCGCGCGTCGTCGCGCGCGCATGCCGAAATCCTTGAAAAACCAATCGGTTTCGAGAGGATTTCAAAATCGTGTCCAAACAACCTACAAAAACCCAAGGTTTCGCAACACGGAATTTCAACAAAAACGTGCGCGCGCGCTCTTGCGTCGTCGTCGGCGTCGTCGCCGTCCTCCCTCCTCCCGCGTCGTCGTCGTCGTCGTCGTCGCTTACGTCGTCCTCTGTCTTTCCTCGTGTTCGTCGTCGTCGTCCTCTTTGGCGTCGTGGTCCTTTCCGTCGTCGCTGTCGCCGTGGTCGTCCTTCCTCCTCCTCCCTCGTCGTCGTCGTCCGTCGTCGGCGTCTCGTCGTCGTCCCTCCTATTTCGTCGCCGTCGTCGTTATCGTCGTTGTCGTCGTCTTCCCTCCACCCTCGTCGTTGTCGTCGTCGGCGTCGCCGTCCTTCCTCCTTCTTCGTCGTTCGAGTCGTCGCCTTCCTCCCTCCTCCCTCGTCGTTGTCGTCGTTGTCGTCGTCGTCGTCCTCCCTCCTTCCTCGTCGTCTTCGTCGTCGTCTTTGTTGGCGACGTCGTTGTCGTCGTCGTCGTCGTTGTTGTCATCGTTGTCGTCGTCGGCGTCGTCAGCGTCGGCGTCGTCGTCGTCGTCATTGTCGTCGTCGTCGGCGTCGTCGTCGTCGTCGTCGTCGGTGGTGTCGATGTCGTCGTTGTCGTCGTCGAAGTCGTTGGAGACGTCGTCGGTGTCGTCGTAGTCGGTGTCGGCGGCGCCGTCGTCGTCGTTGTCGCTGTCGTTGTCGCCGTCGCCACCGTTGTCGTTGTCGTGTCGGTGTCGTTTCCGCCGTCGTTGTCGCCGTGGTCGTGCTTCCTCCTTTCCTCCTCCTCAGTCGTCATCGTCGTCCGTCGCGCGCGCATGCCGAAATCCTTCAAAAACCTCCGGTGCCGGAAAGAGTTCGCAATCGAGTTTCCCAAAACACATACAAAAACACACGGTTTCGCAACACTGATTTGCTAAAAAAGCTTCCGCGCGAGCTCTTGCGAAATCTTAAGAAAACCATAGGTTCTTCCAAATTTTCACAAAATGCTACCCAACGGGCGTCTCGCGCGCGCATGTCGAAATCCGTCGAACGCCCTTGCGCGTGTGCCGTCGCGAGAATCCTCTGCAAAAAACGGTACGAAGTGCAGACGCGCGCGTCGTCGCGCGCGTAGGCCGAAATCCTTCAATACCAATCGGTTTCGGAAGGCTTTCAAAATCGTGTCCAAAAAACATACCAAAACCAAAGGTTTCGCAACACGGATTTTCAACAAAAGCGTGCGCGCGCGCCCTTGCGTCGTCGTCGTCGTCGTCGTCGCTGTCCTCCCTCCTCCCGCGTCGTCGTCGTCGTCGACTACGTCGTCCTCTGTCCTTCCTCGTGTTCGTCGTCGTCGTCCTCTTTGGCGTCGTGGTCGTTTCCGTCGTCGTTGTCGCCGTGGTCGTCCTTCCTCCTCCTCAGTCGTTGTCGTCGTCGTCCGTCGCCGCGTCTCGTCGTCGTCCCTCC